AATGTCCTACATGCTCCCCAACATGCAACTCCGTACTACCCAAGATTGGCCATGTGAGCCATGAGATGTGAGTTACAGCCATCTTTGCTCCGCAACGTCGTAACGCTCACAACATTGAGTAGGGGGAAGCAAAGCAAATAGAAGGAAGAAACTGATAGGTAGTCCTTCCTGGGGGCCTCCTACTACAAGATCACACTGTGCTGCCCCCTGTCCCATTTTCCTCGTGTTCCACCTGTAGGGGGGAAGGATTTTCCTCACCCTGCAGCTTGTGGACAGCCCTGGGCTGCACTGGGTTGAATAGCCCAGTGCTCAGGTCTCTGTAGGCCCTGGCTACCTTCCTGCCTTTCAGTGGAGGTTGATATTCGGAGGTTGGAGATACACTTTTCGCTCCTACGTCTGCTTCTCCTTCTTGCCCTCCAACCGCACACTGGATGTTTCCAACTTGCCTCTCTGCTTGGCCCTCAGCTTGTCTGCCAGACCTTGGCCTGTTTTGAGTACCTAAGGGATTGATATCCATCCATTCGCTCCGTCAACATTACGCAGTGAGCACTGCTTCGTGCCAGGCCCTTTTGGAAGAACTGGTGTTCCAGAGATGAGCCAGCCATGGTCCCTGCCCTCAGGCTGCACAGGGAGTGGGGAGGCAGACAAGACTACAGAGACTGAAAATGTGTTGTTTACAAGACGGAAAGTGAGGAGTGTGAGGCCAGGGCGGATACAGGGTTTCTGAGAACCAGAGTAGACTCCCTAACATAGATAGTGGGTGGGGAAGGTGGCCAGCAGCAGCCAGAGGGCCAGTGTCCTGCGGGATTAAGAGCACCTGGAGCCTCTGGTTGGGTCTGGATGCCAGTTCTGCCCCTTTCAACCTATGTGACCTCCGGCAAGTTACCTAACCTCTCTGTGCCACTCTTTCTCATCAGCAAAATGGGTGGGTGGGGGGGGGGATGATTACACCTATGTAGTCTGATTGTTGGGAGGATTCTGTGGGTTCCTATCCATACAGTGCTTGGGACAGGGCCTGGCGTGCTGCACACGTGTGAACTGTTACTCCACTCTATGCTCAGTCCCAGGGCACAAGCAGAAGTTAACCAGGCAAAGGGGGGTAGGAGGAGGGAAGCCCAGGCAGGGAGGAGCGTGTGCAGGGGCTGGGGCGAGAGCAGGGATGATAACTAACTGCAAGGGGGAGGCCAGCATGGCTGCAACTCAGCAGTCCCGGGGGTGTGAGGGGTGGGGGCAGAGAGCAAGGCCCCGATGCCACCCCACTCCTCAGGGTGAAGCGGGAGCACTCGCCAATGCTGCCCTCCACAGCTCATCAGTCTCCAGAACAAATACGATCCTCATGTTCATGTCTTCCTACCAAGTAGCAGGCTTTCCCTCCCCAGCCTTTCTCTCTGCCTGGGCTCTGCCTGCACAATACACGAGGCTCCCTCCCTCCCCTCTGCATCTGCCTCATGCCTCCGCCTGAAAGAGGCTATTTTTACACTGACCGCTCTCACGATCTGTTCCAACCACCAGAGATGCATGTAGGACTTTGGCAAAAATACCTTTAAAATGTGTAAGTGGTTAATCTGAGTGCGGGTGACAGAAAAAGGAGCAAGCAGCAAAGTGTATTTGTATCTGGTTTCCGGACCAGGGTCTGGGAGGAGTAACGGCTGCCCTGCCGGGCCATGACCTCCCCAGGTGCACATCCAGCTTCCCGCAAGGAAGCCAGTCCTGATTTCCCCCCAGCACGACAGCAGGCTTTTGTGGTGGGACACATCTTCCGCTCAAAGGCCAGCAACGTGACAAATGCCTGGAGGGCAGGCCTGGGCCTCTGCTGCACCCAGGTGCTTTGTTCTCACCATCCCCCAGAACAGCAGTGAGTTCACTGGCTTTATCTACAAGATGCCCATGGCTGGGAAGAGAGGTGGAAAATTCAGCCAGTGAACCAGGAGTCATCAAACACCTGGGGGCCAGTGCCCGCCATTGGGGTGGACGCCGCACCCGGAGAGGGCCTGGGCCCAGGGGAGGGGTTTCTGCTCTCTCAGAATACCTGGGTTAAATGAGGCAGGAGAGAGCAGGAGTTTAATTAATGTGACTCTGTGTGTGTGTGTGGGGGGGGGATGTGACTGTGTGTGTGAGAGAGACAGAATGTGACTGTGTGTGTGTATGTGAGAGAGAATGTGACTGTGTGTGTGTGAGAGAGCGAGAGAGGGAATGTGACTATATGTGTGTGTGAGAGAGAGAGACAGAGTGGGGCTCTGTGAGTGAGGACTTATCAGTATGTGTGAGAGCAGAGTGGGAGACAGAGAGAAAGCTTGGCCGAGTAGGTCTGTGGGTAAGAGAGTTTGGGCTTATCTCCTGTGTGTATGTTTGTGTCAGAGAGGGGAGGGGACGTGAAGTGGCTCTTCTGAATTTCAAAGAGGTGGTTTGGGAGTCTGAAGGTGTCCTCTCTGCCAAGTCTGGAGCGGACCCCAGGGGCTGCTGGTGACAGCTGTGGAGTTGCTCCCTCTTGCATGTAAAGTGGTGGAGCTGGGCCTGCTGGCAAAGCGCCTCAGCCCTCCTGCCACCTTGCGCTGCTGGGCCTCACTAACACTGAGTTTGGCCTGTCACGCCACCTCCTCCCCCGCCCCCAATCCCAGCAGGGAGCAGAGCCTTTCAGAAGAGCCGCCCTGGACAGACAGGTGACAGCTTGTCACACCAGCTCTCCCACTTAGCCAAGCGAGCAGGCGATGCTGACCTCCGGGGCGAACAAGAGGAAGGGAAAGCAAGGGGCGCATAGGGATGGGTGCTTTCCTTCCTGGGAATTTTAAACTGTTCCTCTCAGCTTTTCAAACGTCATGTCATCAGTGTCGCCTTCTGATGCTCAGAGGTAATTATGGTGATGTTTATTTAACTTGTCTTTGGTCATGGGAAAGGACAACTATTAAGTTAGAGTGTAGTGACTAGCCTCATGGAGGGAGACCGGAAGAACATTTAGCGGAATGGTGTTACAGCAGGCAGGGGTTTGCTGGTGAGGACAGTCCTCCTGCTGGAAGAGAAGTCCGGACCGGAAGGCCCAAGGCCAGGGCATTCATTTAATTGCAAAGTGTGCTAGGAGTCACTGGCTCTCACCAAAGCAGGCATGAGGAAGGAGCACAGAGCACTGATTTGCCCTGTTGGATGGGAAGGAGCATGAGGGAAGAATTCTCAGGGGTTGAGGAACGATGAGGCTCCCTGGGAAGGAAACTGCCTCCACGTGGGCAAAGAGAGGCTGGCACTGGGCTTCAAGAGAGCACTGTCCCCAGCACAGGGATTCTCCAAGACACCAGATGACTGCTACCACCAGGGACGTGAAGGCAGTCTGCATTCTGCAGGGACCCAGTTTCCCCAGAGCTGCCGTGGGGTCACTGCTGGGATGTGGGGGAGGGATAAGAGAGCAGGGAGGAGCATCTCGCCACCATCAGGGCCCTAGTCTCCCCCACAGGACTTCATATATTGACCTTCCACATAAAGCTTTGTACTGAATGGTTGTGCTGCTGAGTTCTTCAAAAGTTGGAAATCCACTGCTTCAGAATAATCATGCCTTCACTCTGGTATAAGGTAAACTATGAAGTGTGTGTGTGTGCGTGTGTGTGTGTGTGTGTGTGTCTTTGGGTGTCTCTGTGTAATTTGATGAACTAAGAGAAGATATTCGGAAGTGGATTAATTTGGCAGTGGTCCCACACTTGGGTGGGACCACCAGGTAGAAGGTCTCAGTGTAGAGGTACTTCAGTCCCTCAGCTGCAGCCAGCTTGCCACAAGCATTGAGGGGGGGCACGCATGCTGCCCAGCATCCTGGTGGAGAGGTGGCAGTCAGTGGTGAGACTCAGCTCCACTGTCAAGGATCAATGGATAGACCCAGTGCCCCCCAGCCGGCTCACTGTCTTGTCACAGTGAGATTAAACCACTCACAGTATTGGTTGTAAGACCCAGTTAGTTGTGGAGTTTTACAGGCCAAAGTCTGAGCATAGCACCCATTCCCCTTGCTGATGACTTATCCTAGTGATGCCCATAAAAGTAACACTTCTGTGGGCGAGAGGCATTGCTACAGTACTTTTCTCTGCCATCTTGTGTGAGATAGTCTCAGTGGGGATATAGCAGGAATCCAGACACTCATTACTGAGTATGGTGATAAAAGACTTGTTCATCAAATATTGGGATTATGCTGCATGAGGAATCCCCCTGAAGTCTGGAAGTGATAGGTTTATGACCAAGAGCATCATGCAATATTCTCTGAATTTCACAATAAACAACTCTCCAAAAAGTTTACAACATATAAAACATATCGGGGTTGTTGTGAAGATCCAACATGATGTATGTGTAAACTACTCAGTGTATTATTGTTACCATTAAACAAGATTTATTGGGTTGTGTTTGTTGGATTTTATCCCGCACCCCCCCCCAAAGAAATATGTTCAAGTTCTAACCTTCTGTACCAGTGAATGTGACCTTATTTGGAAATTGGGTATTTCAGAGTGTAACCAAGTAAGATCAGATCATACTGGATTGGGGGTTGGACCCAACATCCAACGACTGGTATCCAAAAAAGACACAGAGACAGGAGGGGATAACGTATGAAGATGGAGGCAGAGATTGGAATGATGTACCTGCGAGCCAAGGAATGCCGAGGATTGACAGCAACAGCTAGAAACTAAGAGAAAGGCATGGAACAGATTGTTCCCTAGAGCCTTGGGAGGGAGCACGATCCAGCCAGGCCCTTGGTTTTAGACTTCTGGCTTCCAGAACAGCAAGAGAATAAATTCCTGTTATTTAGAGCCACCCAGTTTGTGATACTTTGTAACAGCAGTCACGGGAAACTAATACATTGAGTATATAAATGTTTATCAGGCCCTAGCTTAAACACGCGGCCGCTGAATTCCCAGGTGGCAGAGCTACCATGCCTGCCCATAGGAAGCAGTGGGATTTGGGAGTGGGAGACACTGCTCCCATTTAGACTGAAGCCCAGCAGAGAAGCCTCTCTGTGGCATGGCCTCAGTGCTGTTGATCAGACCCAGGCCGGTGTCCACGTTGAAGGACTGACTGCCCTTTGTTCGGCAATGTGAGCACTGCGAGATGAGGGCTTCAAGAGGCAGCTCCATGGCACTTTGCCTGCTGTGGTAATGAGGACAATAGTCAGAAGGCAGCCCTGACCATGATGCTCCTCCTACTCGCTGGAGAGGCATGGCCTGCCTCCGGGAGAATCCACCTGCACTTTACCAGAGTGTCCGCAGACCCAGCTTGGCCACTCCAGGCCTAAGGAGCCGCCTCAGAGTTGTGCAGCAAGAGCTCAAGGCAGCGTCAGTACCCTTATTCTTGGCAGACCCAGAAAACCTAGGCTGGTGGCTCTCCAGCTTGGCTGCTCACCGGAATCACCCTGGAGAAGGTTGTTTTGTTTTTTCCTTTCCTTCGTTCTTTTTTTTTTTTTTTTTTTAAATGCCAGTGGGTATTCTAATTTATTTAGAGCCTCTGGTTGTGGTGGAGCCTAAGCGCTGGTAGGTTTTAACATTTTAACATGCTTCAGGTGATTCTAATGTGCCATCATTAGTCACAACCACTGGCCTGGAACAGTGGTTCTTAAATTTGAGTGTACATAAGAATCTGGAAGTCTCGTTAAAACACACATCACAGAACCCTAATCCAGACTTTGGAATTTACCAGTTCTGGGGGAGGGGTTGAGAATTTACACTTCTAACAAATTCTCAGCGTGGTTCCCACACTTTGAGAACCACTGGCATCGACCAGCCAAGCATAAATCATGGATTGAGTGAGGTCTCATCTTGATTGCCAACTCTGGGCATTGTTAATGGCTGGGTTGAGGATTTGAGACTTCATCTGGGCTCAGCAAGGAAGAGGGCCATGACTGATGAGCGATGTCTGCCACGGGAGAGGGAATGAATGGCTATATACGTGGCAAGTGTTTGCCAACACTGCACTAAGCCTCAAAAGACCTCAAAATGATGGGGGAGAAAAAGACAGCAAGCTGGTTTCACCAAAGTTTCCATCGAGTATAGCTGGGGCCTAAGGGAAATGCAGGGCGAATTGAAGTGAAGTTTCCATTGCACAGAAAGTGGCCCTCCGGAGTGGCCTTTGGACTCTCCCTGTGGAGCGGTGACCCTCCTGACCGGTGCAGCTGGCCAGCCTGGGTGAGGCATCTGTCCATGAGAGGGACTCTGTGCAGCCCTCTGGCCACACTTCAGACACAGGTGGCCCTGTCCTCAGGGTGCATCCACGGGACACGCCCTCCTCCTGTTCCCCAGTCACTGTCCACTGCCCCGGACCAAGAGGTCTAATGTGGCTCTAACCATTAAATTAAGAAGGTATATTAGAATGAGCATCTCTATTTAAAAGCACTCTGAAAGTACACTGACCCATTTCCCCCAACCTAATCAGCAAAGTAATTTTTCCAGATAAGACCGGTATCAGCCAGGAAGGAAAAGCAGGTTCTGCCTAAAAGGTTATCTTTCTCGAATGTTACCAGCTTCTAACAGCCAGTGGAAATGGCTTCTGGCTACAGAATTGCAATAGAGTCTATATAATAAAGAGGCTGCTCCTAGTTCCCCAGGATGCCAGGAATTTGCATGAAAACAGTCTCTCTATCTTCTGAGAGAGTTTATCTGGCCCTGCTGCTTATTTCTTTCCAGACGCCACAATCTTGATGGTGAAACTGTAATTTATTACCATGCTAAGGATTATGATGCAACATACAGAGAATTAGAACGTTAGGTGGGAAACAGGCTGCAGGAACAGGTGAGCTTTTGGAGAGGATGGTCTTATTTGTCATGCAAATGACACAGATAACAGAGAAAAGGGCTGGGAGAAAAGACAACCCAAAAAGACACACTGCGTTGGCTGCAGACAAAATTGTTTCTAAATAGAATGTTTTTCAAAGCTTTCCTTGAAGCATTAGTTGCTCCTCCAAAATGAATGACACAATATATTTCGTACTAGTAATAAAATATGTGATTTGAATAACTACAAATGGAGAGATTTACAGTCAGTGGGGTCCTTGCTACCTGTCCCCTGAGCTTTGTGAGCACCGAAACCCTTCTGTGAGATGCTGCGAAAGGTAATTGCAGCCCAAACATCATTTTCCAGCAGCTAGAGAAAGGCCTATTTGGACATAAATTAACTAAAAATATGCGGATGATGGTGTGTGTTTCATGTGTGAAGAACAGAAAGGCCACTCGCTGATGTTTCCCAGCTGGAAAAAAAATCCTGGTCAACCAAACAGACGCTGTCTCTCTGTTCTACAGCAGCAGTGCAAACCGCTGTCTTTTACTACTCACCCTCAAAATAGCCCCTGATGGCTGGGATGTGGGCAGGCATTCTTCTTCTTATTATTATTTTTGTCACACAGCACTTCTTGAGTTTGCAATTAAAAAGAAAGGGTGGAGAGACACGGCTAAATAATTCACCAGCTGTCTTCATTCACTTGACCAGGGGTACCCTCTCTGGGCCAAGCCAGGGAACAATACCACTTCTGCCCTGGAGAGGGCACTGTCCAGGGAATCCTGAAGTGGTAATCTGCTCCTCGATGGTGCAGGCTTGGTTGGTCTCTCCTGGTGCAATCCCAGAAGACTGGGCCTTGCTATCTATGCTCCTGAAAAGGCGGCCTCTGGAGTGAGTGTTGGACTAAGTGACCCAGTGGGCTGTAGATTCTCCGCACTTGGCTTTCCCAGAGGGTGGACTGGGGGTATTCCAAGGAGGGAGCTAGTGCTCATCACGGACCTGGTGAGCAAGAACTAATCTGCATGCTGCTGAAAGGAAAACAGCCCAGCTCCCAAGGTGGGGTAGGGATGGTGGGCCTCTGGGCCCTTTGACTGACAAGGTTGTGGGGAGGATCAGGGAACAGGGGAGGGGCAGGGTTGAGGACGGGGCTAGGCAGTCACCCTGCTATCTACCTTTCACTTTCCTGTGCCTTGTCCAGTATGTATGCATGGCTTCCCTGAAAAAGGCAAGAACTGTGCTTTTTCTTGGAGCCCCACTCCCACCCCCACTGCTTCACTGCTGCCCACTCCCAGCCCGAGGCTCACCCTAAGAGGCTACAGTTCTCTCCTTTTCCAGGTACTGGAAAGACCCCTGGGCTTTCCCACTTGTCCCCATGTCTCTGTGGCTCCTGTCTCTGTCAATAACCCGTGAGGGCCATCCCACCTTTGCCCCTGTGTCTCCCCCATGAGCTCGGGCACCACACTCTTCTTGCATTGTGTTCGTCCCCTATGCACGACAGCACTCAGGCTTCCTGGGCCAGGCCTGCGCCTCCCATGGCAACGTGGCCTCTGCACGAACATCTCAGAGACCTCTGTTCAGCCATGTGGGAAGCCTCTGGGGTTTATTCCATTGTCCTCACTGAGTTGACTACTGCCTTTAATTTTTTCCCTCCTCTTCACATGATGTAAGCATCTAACAGACTGGCCATGGCAACCCCTTTTAATAGATATGCTGAGTATATTCCTTATTCACAGTGTAGTTTTCGGTGCCTTACCAATGTCCACTAGCTACACTCTAGTCTCTCTTCCTGTCCCCACCCTCCAACAGCTATTTTAAAATAATCAGTCACATTAAATAGCTTAAGCTCTTCTGGCCTTCTGAACCACACTCCCTTCTTGGCACGGCTTGTCTCTCACACAATCCCAGCAGTTATAACCAAGTCGCTTAACCACTCTGTCTTACTGTCTCCACCTGCCAATAGGGATAATAATGCTTAATTATCTCAGAGGGGCGTATGAGAAGCCGCTAGCTGATGCTGGCAGGGTGTGAGATGTGCAGCGAGGCTGCTCCGCCTTCCTGCAGGCGTGAGCCCTGTTCTCTGGGCCACACGTCCTCCTCTGGTGGGTGTGAGGGGTGGCCAGGGAAGGCAGAGCCAGCTCCAAAGACCCTTCAGGGAGGCCAGCTCCTTCCCGTGTACCTTGCACATCAGTTATGTGAACCAGGTATTCTGAAGTTCATTTTACAAGCACTGGGAGCTGGCGAGAAGAGGAGGGCAGCCTGGGTCCATGCCTGATCAAAGGTGGGGAGGGCACCTGAATCTGGGCCCTCCCATTCCAAATCCTGCGCTGCCTTATGCTCAGAGCGGTAATGGTATAAATGGGGGAGTGTGTCCTGTATATGCAGGGCAGGTGGCATCTTTTCCTCTCCCAAATGGGGGGAAAAAGAATTGGCTTCTGTTCTCCTTTCGCAGAGCGTGGAGCCCTGGACTCTCAGCCAGGGGTCCCAATCCACCTGCACTGTTCCCACCCCAGACTGCTCAAGTCCAGGCAATCACTGGAATACAAAAGCCCATGTGAGTGCACTGCACTTTTGGTGTTTGGGGGTCATTTGCTGAGAGATAAGAATATTAAAGTGTATCTCAGAGTGAAATGGGAAAAAACATTTATTGCTTTCTTTTTAAAATAAAGCATTCATAAGCAGAGGGAGTATACAGGTCAGGAATAAGTTAAGAAGACTGATGGACTCAGTGTGAGGGAGGGAATAGGGACATGGGAGAACTCTCACCAACTGTGGCTGGAGTTAAATTGGCAAAATGTCTTGGGAAATCAACTTTTTCTACCAAAATTTAAAATCTGCAATTCTTAACATCACCATGAGGGGCAGATGTACAACAAGGACACACCACCAGTTATGTAATGGATGATGCATAACCTGGGTCTAATCAGACAAACTTAGAATGGGGGAAGTTTGGTTTTGTTTTTTTTTTTAAAGGATGGTATTATTTAAAAATGTCAATGTCATAAAAAGCAAAGGAAGGCTGTGAAAATACCCCAGGTTAAACAACTCTAAATGAACATGACACCAAAATGCAATATCTGATCTGAGACTGGAGGCTGTACTAGGAGGAAAAGGTGCTACAAAGGACATTTTGGGGTCAGCTAACAAAATCAGAATACAGACAGTAAAGTATTCTATCCATATCAAATGACTGAAGTTGACAGGTATACTGTAGTTATGTAAGAGGACATCCCTATTCTCAGGAAATGCAGAAGGTCGCACTCAAGTATATGGAGATACAGAACCATGAGGTAGCCAACATTTCTTCCAAGAATTTAGAAAAAAAGAAATTTAATTTTTT